CGGCTTGAAAGACACAACAGTGGTCCGGTAAGCGGAAAAACTTTTGTACTTCTAGTTGTTTCGAGTACACTCGCTTTCCGCCATTGTTATCAATTTTGGATCCGTCAGTGGTGTAGAACTAAATATAATTCGTCGGAGTAACTCACTATAGAAAGTTAAGCTAAGTAGTAAATAGTGGTTGTCTTCATTTCAGATCGTAGTGGTGACCCATTTAGATCCGCAGGTCCCGTTGTGATACCGTTTAGGCTCGATGTCAATGACGCCCTAGAAATAGCAGCGTTAAAGATCCCAGATTTTGACAAAGTGTTTATGAAGCCGAACAGTGGTAGGGAGAGTGTTCGAAGCTTATGATTTTCTTTTCGCCTCGGCAGCTTCGGTAGAAGTTGTTTGTGAAAAGACCAATTCTTCCTGCATGCATTCCGATTAGGCAGTGACCATTGATGATTCCAGCAACCATTCTGAGTTGAGCGCTCTAGAAATACTCTCTGCTGGCCAGTTCGACAAAGAAAATTTTGAGCTACAGTTTGCTGGCACAGGGTCTTGGGTCTATACCGAACGAATATGTCTTAGTATTTCAAGCCGAAGTATTTGCATTCTTCAAGGTCATGGTCAGTGATAGGAGTTGACGTTTCTACAGTGGCAGCCAAGCTGCACTCAAGGCATTGGCCAGCGCTCTAACTTTTTTCGAACAAGTTTGGCAATGCAACTCAACTAAGTAATGTTGGAAAACATAGCGAACTTATTTTACTTTGGGTGCCATTGGCCATTAATGTATTGAGAAGACACCGAAAGAGGTCTTTAAGGACGGCTTAAAAAAAGTAGTTTATAGCTTGGATTAATGTATTCGGTTAAATGGAGATTATGTTGTAAAATTCCATTGTAATATTGACGAAAATTAACAAAATAATACAAATTATAGCTAAATTTCCAGAATTTTTGCAAACATTATTTGTGGTTGTCAGTACTCTACCGCACAAGTGCCGGAAAATTCGCATCTTACAAGAATTTCGAGTGCCGAAAATGAGATTTGCTCACCGGAAGTACCTGACATCAAGCCGTATCCATTTATACCCAAATATCGATATTTAGATATAAAAGGCAGAGCTAATTAGGATTAAAAAATAGAACCGTGTTGAAATAAGACAGTTTTTACTCTCTCCTGCAAAATTTGGCAACCTCGCATATAAGGTTTTTCATTCTCTAAATATGCGGTTTTGTACTTTAAACGACGATATGTGCCAATCGATATTAATATGGTTATTGCTATCGATATGGTTTTAGTGATCGGTATCGATGTTTTTATTCTTATCGATATTGTTATGATTATCGATAAGTTTATAGATGTCGATACGGTAAAAAACTTTTTCATCGACATCATTGATAACATTATTGATATTGGTATTGTTATCGTTATTGTAACGGATATCGTTATGCTTATTTTTATCGATGTTTATTGTTATTGTCATCGTTTATGATATCATTACCAATTACATTGTAATTATATAGTCAATTTTACAATTTTGTATTAAGCTTAGAGCGCGTAAAATAACCGACCACCCTAACATCTCTGTCACGGCCTATCCGCAACACTACTACTAGTGAGCATTGGAATCGCACATTTACTTTTATCGCATAAAATATACTGTTTATGCCGCTCACCGCTAGCCGCGCATTGCCGCCTCGACACGTCTCGTGCTCCATAAAAACATCAAAAGTCGATTTGTGGTTATTTTTGCTAGGCCATGCGCCTGAAAGTATGTCACATGGTTTTATTCGCATACGAGCATACGTACATATGAAATTGTCATTGTGTGTTTCTATTTGTTTTTGTTTGCGCTGTGGTGTTAACTTTTTTTTTTTTGTTTGCAAACTTCCAATCTGATTTTGGTGTGCCACTTAAAAGTTTTTACTACCAAGATATGCAAAACAATACCATTTGCGTATACAAAGGCACCATAAAATCGATTTTGCTTTCATTGAGTTTAAAGAATACCAAAGCAAGGGTGTAACATTCAATATCGAATATAAAGTTTTTTTTTTCAAAAGGAAAAGTTAATGAAATAATGGCTTGCAAAAATCTGGTATTTATATCGTTTGCATTAATTGGGGCGATTTGTTTTGGGAGCTCATGTATTAAGTAGGGATATCACGATTTGCACATTTGTACAGATTTGTAAATTTTGCCATTCACAGAGTGTGGTTGTGTATGAAAAATTGAGTTCAGCTCAATAACCACTTTCCAAACAACGCAACTCTGTAACTGTGAAAATGTACAAAATTTCTCATTCGCATCCTTAAAAAATGCACAATTTTTTAATACAGTTTCCAAAGATTTTGTCTCATTGAAAAACCTCTGTCGGAAAGCCTTAATTTAAAAACGCTCCACATTTCGCCGACTGGGTATCAATACATACATATATGAATGTACTTATTTACGTATACACAGCAAGGTAATCAAATAAACAATTATACGGAGCTTAATATTTTTATATTTAATTTACGAGCTTATCTCGCGCCTATATTTTGCCTAAGTGTTGCGTAAATGGCACATAAAAAAAAATTTAATCACGCTTCATTTGATAAAATTTATGAAGCATGCAATGAATGTAAATTAGGAACATAGGAATTTCGTTGTATGCAGAAAATAGAATATGTTAAAATATTTCCTCTAATATTAAGGTTAAAAACTACACGGAGAAAATACGATGGATGTGATATCGATACAAATTGGCAATACTGCTTTAACCATTATAACACAGGAATGCGAGGTTTTTGAAATAAATATCGGAAAGTTTATCCAAAGCATTTTGATGTCCTTAAAGTGCAAAAATTAATGTTTTTAGCCATATTTGAGATGTTATAACATTACTCTGCGTTTCTTTCTAGTATGCCGCCGCTTTGGCTTTCATTTGCATATTCGAACCTGGAGATTAGAGTGAACCGTTCAGTTGTAGTTCGCTCACCTTACTGAACTAGTTCTTTAATTCAATCAGTTCATTTAATCAATCCGATAAGACTTCGATTTTTGGCCACTTTTGAATATGTCAGGGATTATTTTTCGGGGGAGAGGGATTTTTGGTTATAATGAATAAAACTACATGAGAACCAAATGGTCATACTAAATGGCTAAAATCAGCTATTTTTATGCTTCGGTTACACTGGATTCGATCTTTGTTAAAAAAACAATTTGTATTTATTTTCGCAGCCCGGTGTTATTAATCGATGAGAAGCAATTATGAATATCACATCCACAGATCGATTGAAAAAGTTTAGAGGTAACTCAAAGCCAGTAAAATTTTGAAAGAGTATGACTTTTTACATTCTTCCGCTTTGATGAAATGCAATGAACGAAAGCAATTTTTTTTTTCAAAATTTACTATACATAAATATAATATCAAATTTATTGATATTTTCACTCGTTCTTTGCCAAATTTTGGCCAACTAAACTTCGATGTAAAGATTGATTAAGTCACAATTTCAAAATCAACCCGAATTCTTATACATATACATATATCATATAGTAAGAGTTCTAACATGAAAGCGCCTCCAAAAAAGTCTTCCACCCACTTAAAGGCGACATAAAACTATACTCGTAGAAAAAAACTTCCATTTGCGTGACAACAACCAGACGTATATACATATACCACAAGTTCAGGGATTATCAATATGTTTGACCGTTAAATTTCAAATTATTTTTCTTGTGTTTACTTAAAATTTCATGATGAATATATACGTAAGAAAGCGCAATCGATTCATCCAATTGTTTATTATAATTCAGCCATACAATATACGAGCAATTACTTACATATATACTTGTACATACACATACATACGTATGTATGCAAAAAAAAACATTCGTACATAAATACATACATATGTATGTACGAGCTTTTCAATAAGATATTGCGGTATACAATAGAAATAATTGTATTATGTAATTAGGAAGATATTTATTTAAAGAATCTAAGATACATACTTACATATACATATATACAAGTAAATAACCATACATGAGTATACGATAATACAAAAACAGAGGAGTTAGAACGAAGAAAATGATTTTCTTTCGAAGTGGAACCTGAGCATTAGCGTGGGCTGAAAATTCGTTTTTTTAGAATTTTGATAATAGCAAAAATATGGTTCATTATGCCCTAAAAATAATCTGTGAAAAAGATGAAAATTTTTGGTGAATATCTTAGGCTCAGAATTGTTTTTTTTAGCACTTCAACTTTGATGGACTTGGGCGAGTTTAAGATATTGACCAAAATTTGTCATCTTTCACAGAGATGAACCATACTTTTCCTATTACCAGTCAAAATTCCAAAAAAAAACGGATTTTCGGCCCACGCTACTGAAGCATTTACCTACACTTGTTAACAAACAGTTTTATTTGCTGAGAAAAAATTCTGGTAAGCACCACGATGGGTTTCTGTGGCCACCGGGTGAACTCTTGACAAAAGCAACTCATCTAACTTATCGAACAGATGTTTCAAAATTAGTAATTTAGTACTCGATCGAATCTCAGCTTCAGCTACAAAAGTTGACGCTTGCCATAAACAATCTCTTAGTCAAATTTCAAAAGATGATTGCCGCAATTTGGGCCCTGTGGCGCTAGAGCAGTCGGATACAAAAAAAAACACATTTTTTTAATTATATGTAAATTGAGTTCGATTTACTCAAGTGGGGATTACTGTACGTACATATGCTGCTTCTATAAATAATTTATAGCTCACTTCACGTTCCTACTCAGTCGACTGTACTTCGCCTAACAACATCTACACATCTCACAATATATTAGAAAATACAAAAATAAACATCTATACATACATATACCACATACTCGTATCTTGTTATTTTTTCCATTCACACTCACTTAAATTCCCATTTATCTTTGTTTTGCTTGAAAAATTGTTTGCAATTATTTTCTACATAGCACAACAAACGTTGCTTTAATTACTACATGTAAGTACATATTCGTCTCTTGTTTATTTGTTTTGCAGATTATTGGCCTAATCATTGTGGTAGCCTCGGTATGGATGCTCACCGATCCCACATTCGTGCTGTCTATGACCCAATCCTATAATCACTACTACATAGCGCTCTATGTCTTCCTTGGCATTGGTGTGCTCATAACGCTGGGCGCTTTCTTTGGCTGTTGTGGCGTTGTGAAAGAATCACAATGTCTCCTCGTATCGGTGAGTACCTAAATACATACGTACATACATATATGTCACTCAAATATACTATTTGAAAACATAGCTTAATTAAATATGTCATGCGACAACCTCCAAAATTTGTGGCTGTGAATTTCGATTAGCGTACATGAAAAGCGACTGAACTGGACGCTTAACGCCTACGCGTCGCACAAAAGCATTATCCAGCCGGTAAGTGGCGCACGCATTTAGCCACCCACTGCGTAGTGCAGCGCACAACAGCGCTCATGCTGCTAGTAAATATGTACATATGTAATCGTCGGCGTGCTTAAAAGTATGCCCGTAGGCGATTTGCGCGAATTCTTAGCATCTGCAAACTTTTGATAGCTTGTTGCATATATATTTTTGTTTTTTATGTATGTACATACATTAGACCGCAACAGCTTACAAAAAAAAACAACAAAAAAAATTCGCCGTACACCCCTGCGTTTATTAAAGAATTTTTACAAGGCAATTTTGAAAAAAAAAAAAAATTTTTTTTGTCCCAATCTATCGCTTATTCACATTTTTCGGGACACTTACTTGTACATTCGGCAATATAATTTTTTTTTACTAGTTCTACTGAAATAGTTGAAATACTTCCCTTGCAAAAGTTTAACGATTTTTGTGAGCTTCAACATTAGGGTGGTAAGTTAGCGTGATAAAAACTGAGATCTGGTGGGTCAGTTCTAGAACGTGATACTTGAGTTCAATGAGCTTTTTTTCGAAATTGTCTCCTCGAGACAAGCAAATTGATACATTATACTTCGAGACCCGACTGTAAATGCCGAATATAGGACAAAAAATTTAAAAAAGTTACCCTTACCCGAAAAATGTTAAAAAAAAAATGTTATTTTTTGACGAAATTGTCGTCGAGAGATACAAAAAAATCGATATAGTATATAAATACCGTAGACAAAAAATTTCGAAATTGTCTCCTCAAGACAAAAATATCGATTTGAGATCCGACTGCAGTGCCGAAGATATGACGAATAATGTAATAAGGCGATCCCTACGCTTGGCAAAAAAAAAATTTCCAAAAACCCCTTAATAAAAAATTTAAACATTTCTTTATGTTTTTATACAAATTTTAAGCATTTCTTTACGACACTACAGAAAAATGCTAAGCACCATATTTTCGCAATTTGGCAAACTCCAAATTGATTTTATACCCATGATTTGCTTAGAATAACATGTAAGCGCATAGTCGAAAAAATCACCCCTACAAATTGTCCCCGCCCTAATGTACATACATAAATACATATGTGAGCATGTAATTTTAGTGTTCTTTTTTGTTTTGTTATATTTTTATGATTATGCACATATTCAATTTATGACTTACATTTTCTACTTTGTAGTTCTTCTGCGTAATTTTGGTGGTGATGGTGGCCCAAATTGCCGCCGGCGCATGGGCATTCCACAACAAAGACAAACTCGATGACATTGTACGCGCATCGGTGAAGTATTCGGTGCAAGAGGAGTATGGCCAATCGAGCATGAGTTCGCGCACTGTCACATTTGATACCATACAAAAGAATGTATGTATACAAACATATATAAATAAATAAATAAATAAAAAAATATACAATGATGTATTAATATACAAGTGCAATGTGCAGTGAATTGTTTATTTACATATTTACTTATGCACATATTTGCACGCCCACACTTGTAAACATAATCAAAAGTTCATACTCAAATTTCTTTGTTTTTTTTTTTTTCATTTACTATTTTGTTTCAGTTGAAATGTTGCGGCGCCGATGGCCCGGCTGATTGGGCAACCAGCCGTTTCAATAATGTCGATCGCACAAATATCGTCGATATTGCCATTTCATCGATGAATGTCTTCTACAATATACCCGAATCATGCTGTAAAGATGAGCTGAAGGAGAATGTGTGCGAAATGTCGAGAAAATTGAAATTCGGTGGTTCACTGAATCAGGCAATATATCAACAGGTTTGTTCGAAATACTATTTTTCTTCTTGTTGAGACGTTTTTGAGTAGACACTAGGGTTATTGACTCGGTTTTTCCAAACCGGTTTCCACCGTTTTTTTTTCATATCTATTGGCGTTGTTTTTGAAATCTCGATTTTTCGAATAACCCGCATTTTTTTATGGAACAAACAGTTTTTTTCATTTCATACAAATCTTGACCTCTCAATAAAAGTTTCGAAGTTTTCAAAGTATTTTTCGGTTTAAG